TTCAAAATGGCTGCCAGTTTGAAAATAAAATAGCAATAACTGTGCTATTAGAGCAGGTATCAACTTGATTTTGGTAGCAAACCATAGGTTTTCGATGTCAACCTGTCCAATGGTCATATTCTCACAAATCATAAATGGCGGCTTTTAATTCCAAAATGGCTGCCATTTTCACAGTAATAAAAAACAAAACTGTGCCATTAGAGCAGGTCAACATGATTTAGGTAGCCAAACCCAAGTGTCTGCAATTATTGGAGCAATGAATCGCCTTAAAAATCTGCTACCATATCACATACTGCTTACTATTTATAAGTCTCTTGCCCTTCCTATTATAACGTATTGGATCACGATATGGGGTTCTGGTAGCATGACAAACTTAAATATGTATGTAATCCATGTATTACAGAAGAAAGCACTTAGAATCCTATGTAATGTACATTATTTACAGCCATCTGCTCAACTTTTTGTTAAAACCAATACTTTAAACATATTTGATTTATGCCAAAAAAAAATGTAGCCAACTTAATGTTTTTATATGATAAGGGTTTATTACCAGAATCTTTTGATTTGTTGTTCCGTACACTTGACTCGTACCATAATCATAATACACGATATAAGCAAAACCTTGTTATCGACTTAAAACGCACAAATGTTGGCCGACAATGAATCTCGTATATAGGGCCTAAGGTGTGGAACAACATATCAAGCAATGTAAGAACATGTGCTAATATTTCACTATTTAAGAACAAAATGAATAATATTTATCATGAAAGTTATAAAATGAAACGGTACCACTGCCAAGACGAGAACAATTGTATTATTTGTAAAGAAATTCGTCAATAATAGTCAATGATGTTTAAGTGCAATTTATATGTTGCTTTATTGCTGCTATTTAATTATTTATATAATTTTACAGTGTTTAAATTGCTATCTAAGAGGGACATATTATTTATATCTTTATTATTATTATTATTATTTATTTTTATTTTATTTTTCTTTTATTATCCTTATTTTTTTTTTCTTTGCTCTTCTTCTTCTTATTATTATTATTGTTATTGTTATTATTATTATTATTATTATTATTATTATTATTATTATTATTATCTTGATCTATGATATGAAAGTGCTTTAATTAAAATATATACCTTGACTTACTTTGTCAATTTGAAATAGTATCTTAATTTTTTTTTTTCGGGCGCCACTAGTGTAAAGCTCTGCTTGTTTGTGGTTGCCCTTTCCATTTCCATTTTTATATCTGTACTGTTTATCTATGCATTGAAAAGATTTGGAATAAATTTATTTTGAATTTTTGAATTGAAACCCTGTGTTTTCAATGTCAAGCTGCCGAATGGTGATATACACATGGATCAAGAATGGTGGCCATTTTGAATTTCGAAATGGCCGACAAATTTCTAACACAAACTGCTTAGTTTTTTGCGAAGTAATGTCAATTATTAATTGCAAAACCCAAGTTTTAATTGCGAACCTATCAACAAATTAACCTGTCTAATGGTTATTCCAAGTGGAATCATATACATTTCTTGGACCATGAAGACAGAAAGACAACACATGTGAAGTACCAAAGAGAAATCCAAAAGGGGCTTTGTCATGATTCTGTATGTCAGTGGTCTATCGGAAAAGATCAGATCAAATGCGCACACACAACTTTAATACATGATTCAGACATCAAAATAAGTTGAGAGAACTAGTGCATCCGAAAAACAAGATTCCATGAGCAAACACTCACCTTAGAGTTATTATGTGGTCATTGCGACCAATAGTAAAGGGTTTGACCACTTAGGTGAACATGAAATGAGGTCGAAAAATATAAATAAAGGAGTACGAACTAGAGCAAACATGGGTTCTTCTTAATGAGACATGCACAAATCAGCAATCACTGGACATATGGTCACACACAACCACATCCCAGATTGGAAATACTACAAGTTACAGGGGGAACTGATGTTGGTAGTAGATGAATAAGGATCTAAATGGTTCAGAAATAAAGACAATAATATTAACAGAGACGAGGGAGTACTCCAATTGTCCCATGTGTTTGAACAATTTTTGTCGACCCACAACAAGACCCAGGGACTCCTGCTTACATCAGACCAGGTTTGCCGACACAATACCACCAGTCGGCCAGCTGGAGATAGATATGCAGATTTCTACACGTTTGAGAATGGTAACTGAGTGACCAAAACTGTCATACGTATGTTTTTTTAAGTCTAAAATATCTAAGAAATTTAACGTAAATATCGATAATTGTATTAAATGCGTTAAACCTACTGCAAATGCAAACTATATATATA